ACCTACCTTCTATACATTTCCAACACACCGCGGGGTACGTGTGATTTTAGGATGTACCGCACCTTAAGAAATTATGTCCTATAGTAATGCCCAAGGATGAGAGATCAAGCTCATCCTTGGGCTCATCATCAAGCTGGCAGGGGGCCAGCTCACTATACAGCCCCACAAAATTATTGGTTTACACACACACACACACACACACACACACTATGGTAGCAGGAGAAAGGCTTGGTGGAGGGATTGGAGTCAAGGTGTGTGGGGACAGAGTCCAGGTCCTTTGCTTGGGGAAGGAAGGTGGGTGATAGCTACCTATCCTGGGCTCTGAGTTGATCCTCGATGGCCAGTCGGGGTCTTCTGTAGCAAGGTGTTGTCCAGAGGGGGTTGTCAGCAGGGCCTATGGGTGGATATGTGGTGTGGCATAGTGCTGGTCCAGATGGAGAGGGCGTCCCAAAGAAATCACACACTACCACCCCTTTTATAGGGGTGGGCTACCTGTGTGTCCTATGGGAAGAGCATGTTGAGGTAAGAGGTAAGGACATTCCTACTCAGATGTATAGGTGCAGATCCCAGTGTCCTCATTGTCTGGTGGGACACAATGGTGGGGTTGCTGGTTTTTGTAGGGTCTTTGTCTTCCAAAAGTTGAGTTCCTATAGGTTCTTTATCTTACAAATGTTGGGTCTTGTCTCTGTTCCTGTCTGAGGCATGTGGTTCCTGGGTGAGTCAATGCAAGGGAATAGTCCGGTCGTTAAGTTGATGGTCCAGTCGTTGAGTTGATCATTCAGTAGAGGCCTGCTATCATTATACCTCAAGCACCCTCATTCATTCCCTTTCATCCGGGAACCAATTTACATGAGACTGGTTAGACATGAGTCACAGTTACAACATACTATTCAATAAGTTGTGTCTGGGCAGAGGACACAAAAGGGAGGCTTGACATAAAAAAATGGAAACTTGACATTACTTTACAGATGCAGGCCTAAATCATATCAATTCAATATAAAACATTAAACATCAATACAAACATAACAAAATATTATTGACAGTATAAAAGGGGCTTGTTACTATAAAGGAGTATAAAAACTTATCTTAATTTCCCTAGTACTACTTGTAATTACTTAGAAGGGATAGAGAGGGCAGAGAGAAAGTCAGAAATGGTTGGGGAAGGGGAGGGAATATATTTTTAAATAATAATAACAAAAGAAAAACTGGGGGTTTTGCTACAGGTCTACTTCAAAGCTATTTCCTAAAATCATAACTTCACTCCATCTGGAACTGGGGCAGGTACACATTGCTACTTTTTGAGAGGTGAGTGTCTTTTCAAGCTCTAGAGATACAAACAAGGGAACCAGAATCCTAGGAGGACGGGCTAAAATCACCAAAGGAATGAATTAATGAGCAGGTCCAAACTTGATCTAACTTCCTAAAAGGAAACTGTGCACTACACAGTAAAGGGTGTTCGAATAATGTCAGTGCAGTCAGTGGCATTGAATGCTCTAATGGAGTCAGTTGTAGAATGGGAGGGGAAACAATGATTCAGTCCTTTTTTCCTATTGCTTATGAAAGAAGTGGTATTTTACCTTGGTCCCTGTGGCCATTGTGCAGATTGCGGGCCTTGTCTCAATGAGTTAGGTGGTGGGATTCATGCTCTTGGGTGTTGGTGGTGGTGGTTGTGGCAGCCCAAGACTGACCAAAATCACAAATAGCACTAATATTCAAATCTCTTCTGTGTGTGGCTATAAAGTCTGCTGCAGGTGCATTCAAATGCATCCTGCAATCAAACTAGTCTTAAAAATAAGCGCAAACAGTGGAAACCAAGTCATAACCCGCTGGAAGGTCCCATGGTAGCTGACGATTACCAGTGCAGTGTCTCCAAGTGCCCCTTCAAGGCACTAGGGGAGTGATCCCAGCTCTAGCACTGGTTCTTTGGTGGCCTCATTCCTATCTCTCAAATGACCTCTCTACAGCTGCAGGTCACCTGTCCCATGCACTGGCTCTGCCTCAGGTGCCCAGCTGCGTTGTTAAACTTGTGAACTTGGCATCATTGGCAGGCCAGAGAGGGAGACAAGAGCTTGAGGAAGGAAAGAGGGAATACGGGAGAGCCATATTCAGGCTCGTCCTTTTGGATACTCTGCACTGGCTTGTCAGTGTTGCAGACCACCACTTGTGTTCATTCATCCATAGATACGCACTTGAACCAGGTGCTCTCCAAGATGTTCACAGAAATGGGAAAGCTGCCAAGGAACCAAATAAATACAAGTATCACTGGTTTCCAAACCATTCTGATTTTCCAAGTCAGAGAGTCTTAAACAGCACTCCTTTGGGGAGCCTACAGCCCTCGGGGCTGGTTCAATTCCCTTGCTCTGCTCATTGCCAATCTCCAGGCCAGTCTGGTGAAATGGCCAAGTAAAAGGGGCATTTTCTTCCCCCTTCACTTGGGGGTCAACTGATGTGCTCGCAGGACCGCGTGCCACCAGGGAGCGTGCAGCGTGGGCGAAGTAGGAAATGGGCGTGGACCTG